CTTTCCCTCTAACATCACTGTGTGTGGTTGCAAAGAGGGGTCATGGACGCCGTGAGGCGGGGACACTGGTTCCTATCAGAGCTTTCCACCTGCATCCTTCTGACAAAGGATGGGGGTTAGAAATGCCTGGTATGCCCCAATGGGGTTTTTTTTTTTGGTGTGTATGTGAGTAAACAGATGTGATCAGCTAGTCTAAATGAATCAAAGTGACTGCTCCATCTCCCGCCGGGAGCTGCCAAGGCCGGCGCAGCTCAATGTCACCGCCCGGGCAGGGCTGTCGGCAGCTGGGTTAGCGTGCAGGGCCAAGCTCACCGCTGTGGCATGGAGGAGTTATTTTTTGGAGGGGAGCCAGACCTACATGCTGTCCAAGCAAGACCTCAAAAATGTGGTGAGCTCGTGTTTCCCAAGAGATGCTGCTGGGGAGGTGGGAAGAGCGATCCTTCAGCAAGCCTCAGCAGTGGCTGGCTGGAATCTAGGGAGGTGTGTCAACCTTTAACTCCCCCTACCTGTTTTATTTTCTTCTAATGAACTTTTATTTTAGCTCACGTATCACCCAGAGCCCTAAGTGAGGTTCTGAGCTGATACAGAAGCAAAATGAGGGGGAGCTGTGAGGGAGTGAAGTCCCAGCCTGATCCCTCCAGCAGGAGGAACGGGGAAGAAGAGCCCTAGGGAGGAAGGATGGTGCCAGAGCATTGCTTGTTTTTCCTGGCCCAGATGAATGCTAACGTATGTGGGGAAAATAATAATATAGGAATAATAATAATCTACTTGAATCTTTCTGGACTTGCAGCATCACCTCCCCCAAGATTTGGTAGGAGCTGCTGAGACATTCAATGTCCTTGGCAGTGCAGGATCTGCAAATACCTCCTTGGGCCACTTTTCCTGTGCGTATCAAGCCTGAGTTAGCCAGGAAAAAATCCTGCAGGATCCGTGAGGTCAGGCTGTTTCTGCAGCCTTTGCAGGTGTAGTGCTCCCAGATGTTCCCAGCCCTCACTGGACCTCGCCAGAGGCATCCGCTGCAGATGCTCTCTGCTGGGGATGCAGTTATGGGTGAGCGGATTGAGTGTGGGGTTGTGCCAGCCCCCAAATCCTCAGATCCTCACTTTACAACTTCTCTTTTACTCTAAAACGTGTTGAATCCCTTTCTCAAGCAATGGCTTGTCTCACTGAGGTTTTTTTGGCACTTGCTGTCTGCTGCTGGTCGGTAAAACTTTGTTGGAGAGGGTCTATTGCTGGATGTGTGGTCATGTTTACCAGTCTTGTCCATCCTTGACAGCAGGGAATTTGTAGCCCTAATTATAATGACTCTTGGGACCTCCCCGGCTTAGCTTAATCCTAATGTCACAGTTAGCTCTGGCACCCTAAAATAACATGTTCAGGGCAAACCAAAGGATGGTTCTGCAGGGAAAAATGGAAAAAAAAATATATTTCTAACTTGGTTGCAAAACACGCAGCAGCCTAGTCCAGGAGAAAAATCCCTTTTGTTCTTTTTTTTTTTTTTTTATACATCACGCTTCCCAGGCAAGGAGTCGGCTGTGCCTAGAGACCCTGAGCACAAGCACCATGCCGATTTTGGCAAGCGCTGTGTATTGAGAGTGCCCAGGCTGAAGATTTACATCTGCATAGGCAAGACAGAGGGAATATTCCCCTGCCCTTCATTTCCAGGTAAAGGGTGGTACATCATGGGTTGCCTGGCAAAGCCAAGAGCTGCGCCCAGCCCCTCCAGCAAATGCACGGGTTTTTCCCTTACCGAGAGCAGGATGGGAGTTCAATTACAGGGAGTTTGATTCCTCTTGGTCTCCTGATAGCCATCCAAATACCCTTCTAGAAATACCAGGGTAGAAATGCCACCCTTCCCAGATGCTATTTTCCTGAAGGGTTATTCTTATTTATTGTCAAGTTCAATGGCTAACTTGTTGGAAGAAACCTGAGTTGTTTTATATTGAATTTCCCCCCTAGATACTCCTCCCTTAGCAAAGAGGGAATGTTAGTGAGGGGCTATAAATAAGGGGTGATCTCCTCCTTCTAATGGAAATGGGCCCTCGCAGGGAGCACGTGCCTCCTATTTGGATGTATGGGGCATCAGCAGGTGCCGGGTAGATGCCGTTCATGCTTGCTGGCTATATGCTCTTATTTTAGCCTCTAATCTCTGCTGATGAAGTCATACACTCTAACACTTTGCCAGCATTTCTAGCTGCTTAGATTTTATTAATGCCCTGTTGTTCACCATCAGATCAGACTAAAATCCCATTAAATAGGGCTCAGCTAATGCTTGCTGCTTTTTGAGGGCTCCTCTCCAGTTTTCTGGGAATATTGCAAGAAGCCATGGATTTTGTTCAGCAGAAATTCAGACACAGGGTGGCAAAGCAAACCAGTTTGTTTTCCATCCAGCCTGGTACCATCTACTTGGCCAAGCAGCTCTGCAGCAGCAGTGATACCCCTGGAGCAAGCCCGCAAAAGCCATCCTCGCACACAGCTATGCCTAATTTTCACTAGTTTAAACTCACTTCCAAACCCTCTCTAACTCGTTTGTGGGCAATAGGTAACACGCCTGAATGTCTCCTTGCTTGAGCAAGTCGCTCATTAGGTCAAAAATCACACTAATTTGTGATAAATGGTATCAGTACTACAGGTTTGCCTTGCGCTGGGGTCCTGGCTCAAATAAACAGGATAAAATGATTTGGGTTTTATTTTCCTTCTTCACTCACTAATATGTGCCCATTACCCTCCCCTGCCCTCTCGCTGCCAGGATGGCTCCTGCTGGCCATGGCTCCCAGCATCCTGGCTGCATGCTGCTCAGTTTGGGATGAAAAATGCCCAGGCTGGGAAAGTGGGATTTAGCTTGAAACAGGATGCGATGAATAACCAGCAGGAGGAGCAGGAGGCTGGGGCAGCGGAGGCTGGAGGAAAATTCCTGTCCCAAAAACCAACTCAGGCCCTCAGTTTTCTTACGGAAAAATCTCCTGTTTGGTTTTTTCCCTCCTCCCTGGGGCCAGAGAGAGGCTTTCCCATCCTGTGCTTGGTTGTTTTTCATGGCATCTGAGTGACCATCTCTCCATCTGTCTGTGATTTATTGCAGGATTGATCCCACTCAGAAAAACAGCCTTCCCCAAGCCTGGCTCCGAATGTAAGGATTATTCTTATTAATTTCCTACGAGCAGGAGAAAGGAAGCCTGTTTTTCTTGAAAGACGAAAATGTTTTTGAGCACTGTAAGCCTAATGGTGAACCATAGCAATGTCGGTGCCGAAGGCTGGTCACAGCGGTGCTGGTTGTGCCGGTGTGGGGACCGCTCCGCTGCTGCGGGGCGAACACCAGCCCAGGAGCATCAGTCTCTTCACCATCGCTTTGCCAAAACTTCATGAGCTGTGGATACTCATCTGTATGAGCCCTCATTTTGTCACACTGACTTAGGGAGCAGCTTCTCCAAAAAGCAGGGTCAGGCCTTGGGTTCTGCTCTGTGTCTGCTTTTGGGCTCTTTATTTCTTGCTCAGGGCCAGTTAAGAAGCTGGTCTTCCCTGGCAGGGGGATAAGTTTCCAAAATGATGGCTCCAAATGCTCTGAATTTTGTATTTTATTGATGCTAACTGGAGCAGAGGATGAGGTTTAGCACTAGATGATGCTAAATGCTGGCCTTTAAAATCTGTGGTCTTTTTTTACCTGTAATAACGCTTCTTTCCTGCAGCCCAAAGGGCAGTGCATCTGGGCCAATGCTGGAATAGCTGGAGGGTGCCATGGGGCCAGATCCACCAATGTCGGGTTAGTGCCCATCTCCCTGGCGTTTGGGAGCCTTGCTGTCTTGTTAGCATTGCCTTTTTAGGTACCTGTCTTCCTGCTTTGCCCCTGTTTTCTGCTAATTCCTCCCATGATGACCTATCATCATCTAACATCCCCTAAGCAAAACCCACCCTCTCCCCAAAAGCTGGCAGCTCTTGCACTCGCTTCCTACTCCATCGTTTCTTGCACAGCACCCTCGGACACCAAGTCTCCTCCTGCATTGACCCATCTCACTATTCATCTCCCATCCTTTGGTG